TGACAGCCTCGTTGTAGATCTCCACCATGCTGAGGGTCACTCGGGGGTGCCCTCCGGCCCTCATCTCCCGGAACAGTGACTGCAGCGCCCTAGGAGCTATGCCGGGGTCCTCAGGTGGGCCCTGGAGAGGGGGTGGGTGCCACATGGGGCTCACGTCCTAGTCCCTGGCCCCAGGAGCCACCCAGTGCACACACACACCCTTCCCACCTCCATGCTGTAGGTCTTTCCAGTCCCTGTCTGGCCATAGGTGAAAATGCAGACACTGTAGCCTCGGAGACAGGACAGCACCGCGGGCTCCAGCTCCCTGAAGACCTAGGGGTGTGGGGAGGGTCCTGAGCCCTGGACCTGGGCAAGCTTTATTCCAAAGCTCTAGTGCCCTGGAGGGACGGTTCTGAGGGAAGTTTGCTGGAAGGGGGGGTCTCCTGCCAGGCAGAGGAGGCTCCCTGGACGAGAACTTGCCCCGCAAAGGGAGGAGTGTGACAGGAAGAGGGAACAGGCGTGCAGAGTATCGGAATCCTGGTGACCACGTGGGAGGACCAGGGCATTCGTAGTCACTGCCCGGGTCAAACCCCAGGGCATGATTGCAAGGCCTCCCCTCACAGGAGACCACTGTTGTGAGGGTTAAGGGGGAACGTGTGCCCAGAGGCTACAGTGGTGCTCTCCACAGCAAGGGTGAGCCCAGAAAGGCCCAGGAGGTGGGGGGTGGGAGCGCTGGCCCACCAGGATGCTGGGAGTCGGCCCTGGGAGGGTGCAGAAAGGGCTGGGGGGAGATGGGGCTGTGACTTGTGTCCTGTTGGCACCTGGACATCAACAGCAGCCTTGTGAGCAATGGCATGGCCAGCATTCGTGCATAGAAGGCTGGTAAGTGGATGAGCTGTCATTTCTGCTGAGCGTGCTGGCTGCCAGCCAGGGGAGCAGAGCCAGCATTGCGAGTTGGTCCCTAAGCTTCCATCTCTGGAAGGAAGGACTGGGGGTGACAGTGGCACCAGTGCAGACATGGCACCAAGAGATGTCTTTCACTCTCACCCAGACACTGATTTGGAGGGCCCTGTCCAGGACAAGCCCCCTCCCCACCCCACTGCAGGACTGCAGTGTAGGGTGGGACCGAGGCCTGGCTAGTGTGTCAAGTGAAGAGGTAGGTGGGAAACAGCTGTAGTACCCAGTACATGGGGGAGGGAGACCTGGCCACCCGGAGGCCAACAGGAGTCTGCTTCTCAGCCAGCTCTGCCCAGACCTAATCCCCTCCCAGGCCTGCCTCCATTTCCTGAGCTACAGAAGCTCCAGCAGCAAAATGTGCGTGCAACACATGGTGTGTGTGAAGCAGGGTGGTGTTGGCTGGGTTAAGCCTCAGCTTTTCTGCTGGGTCTGGCAAGAAAGGGGCGGGGTCCGCACAGGGTAACTGAGCCCAGAGGCTGGAGGCTGGCTGTCAGCTTGCCAGGGCCCTGTCCGTGCGTGCCCTTGGCCACAAAGCAAGGAGGGCTGCCTGTCCTCACAGCTGGCAGACTCTGGGCCCTGGCCATGGAGCAGGCAGCCCAGGAAGCCAGGGGGCAACGTGGTCACGGCACCATCCCCACCTCAGCAGCACCCCAGCTACGCTCCCCAGCCAGCTCTGCGTGAACAGTGATCTCAGACAGGTTCATTTTCTTTAGTTTCCTGGTAAAAACATCATTTTTAAATGTTAAACCTTACTGTCTGTTCCCCCTGGGCCTGCACAGCTTGGTGAGGGGACGCAGAGGGGAAACCCTGGAAGGAACGTATGTGCCCAGCTTGGGTATGTGCCCAGCTTGGCTTCCGGTCCTGCCTCCCAGCGACCCCCCCTCCCCCTCCCCCTCCTTCCCTGCTGGAATCGGCACTTTTGCTCCTGGGAGGGCAGCAGGGCAGGGGAGGGGCACCAGAGCCTCTGAGGGAGGGTCAACACAGGTGTGAGGGTGGAGCATCACCTCTTCCTGGCCCGCGTCCGGAGGGAAGACCCAGTCCAGGCGGAAGCGACGCTGGTGCCCTCGATAGCAGGTGGTGACTGTGCCGCCTGGGCCGGGCTCTGAACTCACCAGGCTGGAGGGCGTCCCTGGCCTCAGCCGACACAGCACGCGGATATTTCCTGGGGTTGAGATCACAGCAGTGGGCTGCCTCCCAGACCCTGAGGCACAGAGAGGCTCCAGTTCCTCTGGCCTACCCACGCCACCCCCATGCTCCCCAGTGGCCATACCCTTGAGCTCCAGTAGCCGCCCTGGGCATCCGGTTGGGGGCTCCTGCTGCCCTTCAGGAAGCTGAGGCCCCGCCCCACTGACTGACAGTGCTCTCAGGGCCCAGGATACCTGGGGAACAGGAATGTGAGCAAGGCAGGGAGGGACAGCCAAGGAGAGAGGAGGGGTGCTGAGGGCAATAGGGAGCCGCTGTATGGCCACCAGCTATGGGAATCCACAACATTCAGGGGTCCCTAGGGGTATCACTCAGTGGGCCCGGATGGAGCCTGCCAATCAGGACCATGGGCAAGGATGTCATTTGTCTCCTCTGGGCTTCTTGACAATCCTGTGAGGGATTCACCGTCACCCCAGTTAGCACAGGACAAAAATGAGACCCAGAAGTGAGGTAACACCTGGGTCACAGGAGCTGTCCTGATTCCAGAACCTACAACCCATTAGAGCAGGCAGCTCCCTGGGTTTGGGAAGGAGGAAAGAGGGGCTCCCTAAGGGGAGGACACCGACTGGCTGCCCCGGGCGCACACACTGGAGAGGGAGCAGGTGGTCCTGACCTGGCCTCGGGCCTCGCTCAGGGAGCCCTGGCAGCTCTGGGTAAAGGTGCTGACCAGACCTCGGAGGTCCCCACAGCCCTGACGCAGGCTGGCCATGCGTGCCCGGAGTCCTGGTGGGAGAAGGGGGTTGTGAGGGAAAGCCCCAACCCCGTGACCTTCCCAGGAGCCCCTGGCCCCAGGTCTCACCTGCCAGCTGCCCGTGCACCTGCTGCAACTCCCTTCTGCAGCTCTGCTCTGTTTCCTGCTGGAGCTGCCGGAGGGCCCCCCGGAGGCCCTGCAGCTGCACCTCCTGCACCCCCAGCTGCCCCACCCCACCCAGTCGCTGAGGAAGTAGGCACTTACCAGGCCTTGCCTCAGACATCCCCCTCCCAGTGCCTCCGTCTTCCCAGCCCCTGGACCGAGCACTCACCTGGACTCGGAGGGTTTCTGTGGCCTCCTGGGCCTCCTGAAGCTGGCCCTGGAGCTCCACCAGTGCCTCTGCCTCCTCCTGCAGGAGGGGTGGGAGCCATGGAGCCAGAAGGAAACTCGGGGAGGGGCATTCTAGCAGCCCCATTGCGCACAAGGGGAAGTCAGGTCAAGAGGGGCAGACAGAGCCAATCATGAATCGATGCAGGACTTTACCCCAGTCCCTTGCTCGCCTGGAGTCAGTCGCTCAGAGGACCCATGGTGTGTGTGTGTTTGGGGGAGGGGAGTGGTTCTCCCATGGGCATCAGTCTCCTCCATGGGGTTGCCCTGGGCCTGTCCACATCCTAGTCCTGGAAGGTCAGAGAGCGCCCCCCTGCTTCTGTTCCACAGAGCACCAGGTCCTGAGGGCAATGTTGCTGGAGACCAGGTGTGCAAGAGCCCCAGGCTGCAGGGATAGTAGCAGGTCAGGAGCAGAATACCTGGGGAGCCCTGGCAGGGAGGCCAGCACCCCAGTGCCTCAGGAGGTCCTGAGTGAGGAGCAGGCTCTGTTTCAAGGCCTCGTTCTCCAGGGTTAGATGCTGCACCCTTTTCTCAGAGTCTGTCGCCCCCTGGAGGAGAGGAAGATCTCTGGACTCACCTGAGAGCCCTGGCCCCTCTCCCTACCCCTACTTGAGCCCAGCCCAGCAGCCTCACCACTCCCAGGTGAAGTTGGTCCAGCCCTTCCTCCTGCAGATCCAGCTGTTGCTTCAGCTCCTCCAGCTGGGAAGGAGAAAGGGGGACAGGGTGGAGCACCTCCTTCCAGCCCCCCCCAGTGTCTACCCCTTCCTGGGTCCCTCACCTGTCCAAGAACGAGCTGCTCCAGCTGCTGCCAGGCCCTCTGGTCCTCCGCCAACTGGGGGGGCTGCTGCCCCTGGGCCTCAGCCCTCGGTGAAAGGGAAGGGCTTTCTTGGGATGTGGGTCCTGGGGTGGGTGGGGTGCAGTTAAGACTGACTGAGGTTTCTGGCCTGAAGTGGGGGCACCTCGGGAGCAGGGCTTGGGATCCTGCACTCGAGGCTGCTCAGGTCCTGGTAGTCTTCACTCCCTCCACACACTCCCTTTTCAAATCACTATTTCTTACGCACCAGCAGTAGTGGGGGGCTGCACCCTCGAGGCTGGCTGAGTTTCCTGGGGCAGGGCCTGCCTTCCCCTGGGGCTCCGAATCCATGCCAGGAGAGCCAAGAGCTGACCAGTCACCGTCAACAGTGGGGGGACATCACCAGGCTGCGAAGGAGATAAGATTCAGAATGCAAGAAACCAAGGGGGTCCCTGGGTGTGGAGGCCAGGACTGGGGAGCAAGAACCCTTGGCGGGCTCACCTTGTTCAGACCGGCAGGATACCCGCAGCTCTCTTCCGCCCCCAGCTGGACTGAAAGGAACTCGGCAAGACGCACGAGAGCCTCTTCCAGGGAGACCTCAGCGGGGCGGCCCTCGG